TGTGTGTGTGTGTGTGTGTGTGTCTGTGTATATAAGTATATATATATATTCTATTAAATGGAGATCAAATCAAATAGTTCGAAGCTTCTTATGAAGTAAAATAAAATCCTGAAAAATAGCCTGAGGTTTATATTTACGGTTCCAAACTTTTAAATATCTAGCTATATTCAAAACAAAAAGAAAACGAGTAAGAATTTGACTTCTTTTTTACCGCTCAGTTATTCTTTAAAGTTGAATAAAAAATAGTTGAGCCTTATTTTCCTCTTCTCCCTTAAATGCAAACAAAAAGAAAATTGAATGTAGCTTTGAATATTGAAAATTGAAATTTGAAAATTTAATTTAGCAAAGAATGAAAAATGGGGTGGTGGCAAAATTTAAAAATACGGATTTGGAATTTAATCACATTCATTTCATCGTTGCTGGCAGAAAAAAAAATTCTAATACTTTATTTTGAATATCGATCAAACATTTTGGGCTATTAATGTTATTGTTTTAACTTTGCATGTTATGACTATGAATATAGAAACGGCAGCGCAAAATAACAATAGTAGATAATATACTTAACCATTATATTACTAATGTTCTATTTTTGGAACATGTCTCTTTCAAAATGTTAAAAATTGGTTACTCAAATCTTTCATTCAGAGCACTTACAATTGGAAAAACGGAATATTCCTGCGAAACAAAATTAAATTATTATACAAAATTACATATCATGTGATATATATGTTGTTTTAAACTGAAAGTAATGTATTTTTTTAAGATAATTATATTTAATTTATATGTAAACCTTCTATCACGTTTTTTATAGAGGCATAATTTTTCCATTAGTATTTGCAAAAAAATAAGAGTGAGGCAGATAAACGGTTCATATGACGTAAAAATGTATAGCTTTCAATTTCTAATATATTTGAGAAAGAATTTACAAAGAGGTAATAAAATAATATAGTAATACTAAACCATTCTACCAACGCTTATAAGCTTAACTACCTAACTAGTAAGCTTCATACACATATATCTAAATTTATAGTTAGTCATGGCGTGTATAGCATTATAACCAAGATTTACGCTTTTTTACATAAATGTTGCTACAACAAAATATATTTCCCTATTACTTACACTTTTACGGCTCTATGTACTTGATTTTTTGATTTTCTGAGCACCGTGTGTCTATAGGTTTCCCATAAATCAATAGATATAGGTGTAAATCAATTTTCATTTTGAAACTAACGCTTAATATTTGCCTTTAATTAACATCAAATAATTTCCATTAACATTTTCATAACGGCTTACAAATCCAGTATTTATTAATTTTCTTTCCCAAACATGATGAATCTTGTTCTCTTAATTTCGAGCATACAGTATAAATCCCCATTTCCAATTATTTGCTTTTCATAAAACTCGAACATTTCCAAAACAAATACCCATTAATACTGAACACACTAAAGGAAACAAAGCAAAAATGTGGTAAAGTAATCAATTTATACAAATTACTTTTCGTGAAGAGATTTAAAAAGTCTGCAACCCTAAGAATTAGGAAACGCTTTTCACACCCTTTTCTGAAAAAAAAGTTTCTTAATTTAAGATTTAATCCTGAAAAGAAAGTTCCAATCTGAGCATCAACAAAAGTTTCGCAGGTGACCAAAGCTTCACAATGAAGTTTCGATCCAAAGAAAAAAGATTCTGCTTCATTCTTCCTGCAAAGTGTAGCGGAAGAGCATTTCTTTCAATTACTTTCATTTTCTTTCTTTTTTTCTTACAGGACTTTTAAAACTTCAGCACATTTTTGAGTTGACCACCGATGAGTATAACTTAGATGTGAAGATAGTGAAGCGTATATCAAATGCCACGGATGCCAATGGATTTTTGAGGGAATTAGAAAATTCCGATCCAGAAAGCAGAAAATACATAGTCTTAGACTGTAGTTCTGAAAATGGCCAGACAATAATTGTTAACCACGTCCATGATATTTATATGGGGAGACGCAACTATCATTTCCTGCTCACTAGTTTAGTAAGTAAAATGTTTTACTACTCTTTTATTTTCTCCTGCATTTATCTCTGTCTTTCGTCATAAAATAAGACGATAGAAATAAATTTTGTATGGTAATCAAACATTTATCCATAATATTAAATTAAAAAATCAAATAACACTTGCTTTCCTTGATTGCACTGACTCAAACGCTTAACTTAACGATACGAAATGCCAACGACTCCTGCAACGACAAAGTAATTTAAAAAAAAGCTGTAAATAATTACGAAGTAAATTTTGCAAATATTTGACTATATTTGCTTGCTTTTTAAAAGGCATAGCATGATATAAGTATTATAAAGTGGTGAATTATATAAGCCGATGAATTATTTCGAAATAGTGGTGGATAAAAATCTACTAAATTTAATTTATTAAACCTGGAATCACAAATGATAAACTATAGCTTTAAAATATATATTTGCTGTCCGGAGCAAGTTGGCATCTCGGTATTACTTATAAAATACTAGAAATGTTATATTTTCTTACATAATACTCAAATATCATTTCCTGCTCATTACTTTAGAAAGCATTTCTTTTTAAAATTATTTTCCATTAATTTTTTCTGCATATCAGTTTCTGTTTTGTCATTAAGACAAACAGACGCTAGAAATAAATTTTAAAAGGTTATCAAATATTTATTCATGATATAACATTAAAAAAAATAAACAACACTCGCTTTCCTTGGTAACACTTTGAATCAAACGCTTAGCTCTCTATCTTAACGTTTCTACTAACCCATGTTACTTAAAAAATTGCAGAAGTATTTTCATTTCTCCTCATATTACACAATCAAATTTTCTAACCCATATTGTTTTTCAAATACCATAAATATTTTCATTTTGCCATAACTTACAATATACGCAACTATCATTTCCTGCTCACTACTTCAGTAAGTAAAATTGTTCTTATTATCCATTTATTCTTTCTGTATCTAAGTACATCTTCCGTCAAAAAGACAAACAGACATTAGATAATTTTAAAGGATTACCAAACACTTATTCGTGATATTGTATTAACAAATTAAAAAACCCTTGCTTTACTTTATAAAACTCTGAGACAAACGCTTAATTCCCAACCTTGACATTTTGCTAATCCATGATATTTATAAAATGCCAAATGTATTTTCGTTTCTCCGCAACTTACATAATACGCCACTATCATTTCCTGCTCACTACTTCATCAAGTAAAAATGTTTTTTGCCATCCATAAATTTTTTTTAATACCTATCCTTTTTTCCTTATCAAAAAGACAAACAGACATTAGAAATAAATTTTTAAATGCTACCAAACATTCTTTCCTAACATTGCATTAAAATTTAAGCAGTATTTGCTTTCCTTGGTAGCAATTTGAAACAAACGCTCAGTTTCCATCCTACAATTTCTGCTACCCAATATTAATTAAAAATTGCCAGAAATATTTTCATTTCTATAAGCCATACATTATACACAACTATCATTTCTTGTTCTCTAGATTAGTAAGTAAAATGTTTTATTGCTCTTTAATTCTTTTTGTATATTTTTCTTTATCTTTCACCCCCTAAGAAAAAAAATAAGCAAATAGACGCTAGAAATAAATTTTGAGAGGTAATCAAACATTTATCCATAATATTGAAATCAAAAATTAAATAACACTTGCTTTCCTTGATGAAACTGAATTAAACACTTAGTTTCTTACCTTGACGTTTTTGCTTACCCATATTATTAAAAAGATACTAGAAATATTTTTATTTTGCAGTAACTTACATAATACAGATTTTATATTTTTATTCAGATTATATTTTTTCATAAAAACAAGCGAAAATTAAAAATAAATTTTAAAATATTAACTAACATGTATTCATGATATTGCGTTACAAAAATTAAACAAAATTTGCTTTCAGTTAGTTTCAAATCCTGACTTTCCTACAAACCAATATCATTTATAAAATGCTAGAAATATTTTAACTTTTCCCAAAACAATACACGCAATTGTCATTTGCTGCTCACAATTTCACTTAAAAAATACGTTTTTTACTCTCTATTGATTTTTTCCACATATTCGCTTCTTTTTGTCAAAAAGACAAATATGCCTTAGAAATAAATTTAAAAGATAATCAAAAATGTTTTCCTTATATTGCATTAAGAAATTAAACAATACTTGTTTTTTTTCCGTAACACTTTAAATGAAATGCTTAGTTTCCCAAAATCCATTGAATTTATTTTGCATATCTGTTTATCTTTTGTCAAAAAAGACAAATTAGTCATTAGAAATTAAACAAAACTTGCTTTCCTTGATATACTTTTGAACCAAAATCTTTGTTTTCAACCCTAACATTTCTTCTAAACCATATTCTTTATAAAATACCAGAAATATTTTCTATTCGCAAAAACTTAAATAAGGAGAAACTATGATTTCATATTTAGTACTTTAGTAAGCGAAATTTTGTTTTTACTATCCATTGATTTTTTTCAGCATATTTGTTTATATCTTATTAAAAAAGACAAAAGACATTAGTAATAATTTTTAAGAGATTATAAAATATTTATTGTACTAAAAAGATTAAACAGCACTTGCTTACCCTGATAAGACTTTGAATCAAACGCTTAGTATCCAACCCAGGCGTTTCTGCTAACCCATATTATTTTAAAACTATCAAAAATATTTTCATATCGCCACAAATTCCACAATAAACTACTATTCTTTCTTACTGATTAGATAGGAATGGGAAAATGATTTCTACTATACATAGATTTTTTTTTGTGCATATCCATTTATCTTTTGTCAAAGAAACAGTCATTAGAAATAAATTTTAAACGTTTACCAAACATTTATTCATAATATTGCATTAAACATCATTTGCTTTTCTTGATAAGACTTTGAATCAAGCGCTTAGTTGCTAACTCAAAGGTTCCAGTTAACTATATTGTTTTAAATAATAGCAAAAACATTATAAATTTGCAACAATTGGCAAAATAATTAATGTTACCTACGTCCATGATATTAGTATGGGTTGTCGTAACTAACATTTCCTGCTCAGTAACTTAGTAAGTAAACATGTGTTTACTATCCTTTGATTATTTTCCTGTGTTTATTCTTTATCTTTTGTAATAAACTACGAGTATCAGGCATTTAAATTAAATTTAGTAAATCAACGTATGCGACATTTTCTTTTTGCTCACAATTTGATATTTTTGTATAATAAGTAAATCTAATTTCTTAAAAAAACATTATTTTATCATATTTTCGTAATTCTATTTTTACGTTCATAATATTATGAGGTAGAATAAAATAGTTGTCAAGACGCTTTTCCAAAACTTTTTGGTCTACTCTAGCATTTTTCTTTTCACTTGCACAGAAGCGAAGTAAGCAAATATGCTTTTTGTTTTTTTTTACAATAATTATCTTCTCTTTGATCTTTTCTTCATCCAACCTACTTATTATTTGACCAAAAGAAAAAGACAGATACACATTTGAAATATATTTTGAAACAAGCATTTATCACATCTACCAAACATTCATTCATTCTATTTCTCAATAATTAACACGTTCACGCCAGTGAGACCCACCGGTGGGTCACGCTAGATTGTCTCATCTTGGCAGCGCACCGGAGTAAAAACTGGTAACTATAAATTGGTATAATAACTATAAACTATAAACTGGTAACTATACTGGTAAATAAAAATCCATAACAGTAACGATGTCAAGACCGTAACCAGACGCGGATCTAAAAAGAAAATGTTAAAATCAATCAAAATTTTGATCACACGTTTGTCTTTGCCTAATTTATTTTGTGTGTTGTGTGCATCGCAATGCGTTGCATCTGAGTAAAGTTTTAGATCAATTTCCTAGGTTGTCCAGACCGTAACCCTGTCAAACCGTAACTACAGGAATAATTAATTGAATTTAACATATCAGAACTTAGTTTTTTCCCCATGTTTTACTAATTGAAGATATTTTTTGACTGAAAATAATTAAAGTAAGTCTTTTTATACATTTTATAGCAATTTAACTTAACATTAAAATTTTTCAATTTATTTATGAAACTTAAAATTTTTGATGCAAAATAAAGGGTAAATAAGGAAAATTCAAAAATTTTAATATTTTGTTTATACTAATAAGAGCATCAAAATTTTCGTTGTTCACGATTATTTTCTAATATTTTATACCATTTCAAACAATTTTGGAGGTGTCAAAATAGTGTGCCTATTATTTTTTTTGATTATCAAAAGTTAAAGTTTCTAGAGATCTGCCCATATGTAAATCTACTTGTAAATATTGACGTATAATATATAAATATTCGATGTAAATATTATGCATATAACTATTTATAATATTTAACTATTTTGACTTACAATTATTCGTAAAAATGCAATAAATATNATATATACATACATATATATATACATACATATATATATAGAATTATATGGTTGGAAAAAGTATTATACGTTGTAGTTGAAAATATTATTGCGAGATCGTGATTGGTGATGAAAAACAGAATTTACATCACTAAAAAGAGTTTTATTCCTTTTATTCTTTTCTTTTCTTGCACCTATATTGCTGCTTATTTAAATAACAATTCGTAAGATATTGTTATTATTAAGGATTTTTTAATTAAATCTTAATCTCCAATCACAATTAAAGAATATATATGCCAGCTTTGGTCGTAATATTACAAAATTAGCCCATTTTGAAATAAATATTTAGATGTGAAATAAAATATTGCATCTGAAAAAGCAATGGTTTAGATTTATTGATTCCAAAACCAGGTCTAAAAATTCTAGCGAGGTCTAACGATTCTAATGAGGTCAATTTTATTTAAATAAAGTTAAAAAAAATAACTTAATAATTTATCAAAATCTACCCTTTCTGCTGTAAAATATTCGTATGCCTGTGGCAGAAAAAAAAAATATTTTACATTTATCAAATCCCAAACTAGCTTCAGTTACATGAAGTCTAACAATTTAAACAGAAATTTTAAAACATCAAAAATGATGTATATTTTAAATAAGGAAAATTTAATGTTTTTTTTGAATTTTTTCTAACTATTTATTTTTTACGGCAGCACTATGTACCATCGTGGGTTCTAGATTTAATCGCATGGCATTTTTTTAACTTTAAAAATAATAAACTTTTATATAAACATTAAAAATGATTTTCAAACTAATAGTGATAGAAATTTTTAAAAAATAGTTTACTTTCTGACATTTTATTTTTTTAAAAAAAAATTATCTTAAAATTTTCAAGAAAAATGTAATTTTAAGTTATCTTTTCTATTTTTTAGTTATTAAAAACGATTTCATTTCCTATATTTGTTTATAACAAACATATCTTGAGTCCGAAATGTAAATATTAGCCAACTCTTCCAACTGTGTATTTATAGTAGATCTCAAATGTGTATTTAACTGGTCAATTCTTAATAAACATAATACTCCATCGATCAAGTCTATTTGTAACTTCTTTCATTCAAAAGATGCCCTCCGATAAAGCACAAATTATATAGGCTGCATTTTATCGGAGTCGGAAAAGATCAATCAGACGTAGTCTTTTGCTATTTTCTGCTCGGTTAACATCGATATTTGAGAAGTTTATGTTCGAGTTTGCTTACTTCAGCTACTTGAAGCAGAAAATACCTTTCATATATCCCGGCAAATTTTGTCTGTTTTGAAATTTTATTTCTTGGAAATCATGTTCAATTTTTCTAGTTCACTAAAAATGCTTACATGGTTGAATTATTGCGGTATTTAAATTGATTGATAAGGTAATTCTAAATGCATAAGAGTTCATAAACTAACCCAGATTGAAATAGGATTTTTATTTATAATTTTTTTTAATATTATTCAATAAAATACTGACATAATTTAATTTAAGCATGTAAGAATTTCGAAGGATATTTGAAGTGATGTAAGATCTACATTACTATTAAACTTTTACAGTAAATCATGATACATAGAAAAAGTAGTTTAGATTAATATATTTAAATTGATTGATAAGGTAGCTCTAAAAGTATAAGGGTACATAAACTAACCCTGATTGAAAATAGGATTTTTATTTATAATTTTTTTTGGATATTATTCAATAAAACTTCGACATAATTTAATTTGAGCATTTAAAACTTTTGAGGGATATTTGAAGTAATGTAAGATTTACATTAATATTAAACTTTTACAGTAAGTCATGATACATAGAAAAAGTAGTTTAGATTAATCTATTTAAATTTCTTGATAAGGTAATACTAAATGTATAAGTGTATATAAATTAACTCAGATGGAAAATAAGATATTTATTATACGTTTTATGGTAATATTCAGTTAAATTGTTAACAAAATTTTACTTGATAATGCAAAAATTTCGCGGAAAACTTGAAATAATGTAAGATCTCCATTACTATTAAATTTTTACAGTAAGGTATGATGAATAGAAAAAAGAAGTCTAGACTAAAGTCAATAGAGAGAGAGAGAGAATTTGTTTCATTGATTATGACGTCATACCCAATTTTTTAATATATTTTGTTATCTAATTCTAAAACTGCTTACATAATGTAGGCGTAAGGCATAGGGGTCCGTGTGTTAGGTAATTAAATGCATTTTTCGAAGCACTTTTAATAAGGAAAATAACAAACTTTTAATTTTAAAACCTTATACACACGAGTGAAAACCACAATTTAACCCTTTTTTCTTACTGTATTTCAGTAATTAGTAGCCACATTAATTACTGAATTTAAAAAATATGCTAAAATACTGTTTAATATATTTTGAATGATTGTGGTACTACATTAGTTCAAACAGCATTTTAAAGTACTCGGAGCGTAAAGGGTTAAAACTACAGACATTCTCCATCTACATTTGTCTTGTCTTTCGAATGAATGTACAGCTAAAAATTTTTTGTTTTTGCAGATATTTAACCCATTTATGCCTTAGGCTCAAAAAGCAGTCTGTATATGAAAAACTGCTTTCTAAAAAAAGTGGTCGTACATATTTGTTTATACCAAGTGAATATTCCTCTATGTTATTACCTACTACTTTAACCCTTTCGCGCCGACTGTCACAAATACGTGCTAGCATAAAACCGTATTGGCCAGGGTAAAAAGATAAAACTGGTAATCAAAGTAATTCTTTAGCAGTTTATTTGTGGGCGGAGTTATAATTGTTTGATTTATTTAATTCACCACTACTTTGTTCAAAATAAAATTATTTAGTTATACTTTGAATTAACATTGATTATATATATGATTAAACTAACAATAATTAAAGTAAAAGCAAAGTAAGTCTGTCAAATTAGAAACGACTACATTTAACTTACCGTTTTTTATTTAATTACGACCTGATCCTGATTTTGTACGAATGCTTTTACTGAATCACCCGTCCCCAAAGGGTTAAAAATGAAATGTGTCACATTCAAATTCAAATTCAAAACGTTTATAGTTTTAATTTAGTATGATAGAGGAAGCTACTTTGTTTCTGCTAAATTAATCCTAGCAATAAATCATTTGTGCTAACACTTTTTTTCTTCTTTTTTTGAGAAAAAAGTAACTATCCCTTTAGAAAGGAGGATAGGCACAAATAGGCTAATTGGCCCCAAAATTATTAATATTAGCAGGGTTTCTGCAAATCTTATAGTGGTAGTAAATGTACGTTTATATTTGAAGGGATTTTTCTTTCTCAAGCTACCATTTTAACATTTAAAAGCCCTGTAGGTCGCAGTACTCATACTCATATGTGTTGGTTATCTTAGCATCAGCCCCGCTAAGGGCTCCAACTAATTCATCTGTAGGTTCCAGTTCTCATGCAGTTAAATAATTATTTTTTAAAATATAATATTCAGTGGTGGTCATAAATGCATTAGATGATCAAAGTTAGTCACATTTTCTCTCTAAAAGCTACCACTTTATTGTTTAGACGTCTTGCATTGTTCATTTCTCATACAGTTAACTTTTTTTTTTTTAATATAAGATTCAGTGGTGGCTATAAATGTATTAGATGATCGAAGTTTGTCATATTTTCAGTGAAACTAAAACAAAAGTCGAAATTTAATTTCTGCGTTACCACCGTTAAAAACATTTTCCGAAGAAGGTATAGATGCATGGAAATCCCAGCTTCTAATCCACTTAAAAATAAAGTGGTATAATAAAATAAGAAATATCTTCTATCAATATCCTAAATTTACTACCACTAATAAAACTTTTCATGGACCTCTGGAACCATATACCACATTTATATGTTTGCTGATGTGGAAGTAGTAAATTCCTACAATATTTAAAATGGTTGCGCAATAACAATTTAGGAAAACTAAATTTTCCAACACTTATGCTTCTGTAATCTTCAAAATGAAACGAAACGTTTTACTTTAAAAGAATACTCGACAAGTTCAAAATGATGATTAGTAATCATTTTGAGAAATTTATAAAAATTTTCCACACTTCCACCAAATTACCATTAAATTATGAAATCACTTTAACATCGTTTTAATCCAATTAAGTGCTCTTTCATGAAAATAACCCTTTAAAATTCCCTACTAACATCATTCATCCAGAATTAATACCCAAAAATAGTAACTTAAAACTAATAGCACGAAAACTTTCTTCAAAATAACTAAAATAGCTCACGTCTCCAGAAAGAAAAATATCCGGCCATTTTTTTCTAAAATTTCTGATACAGCCCTCCTGAGCTCTGAAGCATTGAGGTCACGTTTAAATGTTCTATTTTTATCGCAGGTAATGGATGAGTACTGGAAGAAGGAGGTGCAAGAATTCGGAGCTATTAATATCACCGGCTTCCGGATTATCCAGGCCCAGAGTCCGGAGACAACGCAATTTCTTAGCATGTGGAAAACACTAAATTCTTCTAGATGGCCTGGAGCAGGCACTGAACATATCTCGGTTAGTGAACATACTTCATAAATACAATTTTATGATTTTTTCCAGGTGTTGATAACGGGTAAGTTCTATGGCAAGATATAATCATAAATATAAACTAAAATGTATTTGACCTTCAATGAAAAAAAAATAAGGAAAAATTGTTTTGGTATAAGTAAATTTAATCTACTAATGTCTAACTTCAAAACTAGGTAGATATATGAAAAACACTTCCATTAATGAATATGTAGTGTTAGATTTTTTTTTTAAATCCACTGTATGTGACAAATCAATATGGAACCACAGTGGGGTTTTTACGATCCTTACCCTTTTCAAACCTTACGAGACCAAATGGAAACAACCGGGTGAGTTAGATCAACAAACGCCTCCTACAACTGAAAGCCTCCACACGGTTTCTTGTAAGTAGTCAGATCAGACCACTATGAGAGTAAACCAGTTTACGAAAGAGCCATTTAATAGAATATCTAGTAAAAATAAGATAGTGATAGCAAATATAAATCTAATTTTTTTTAAATGTATATATGTAATTGGTTCGTCTTATTTGCTTGTCTACCACTAAAGATTCAATTCTCAAATATATATGTCAACTTACACTTGATTACTTTTAAAATAGAATTTGGTTTCATGCGCACCACTGGGTCACCTTTTAAATAGTCTGCGAAGACTACACATAAAAAATCATGTGTAGACTTTATCATGTAAGAAGTGATGGTCTAGGTGAATTTAATTTCATCGAGAAAGTATAACGGTATAAGTTCTTTCGACTTTCTATAATTTATCGATATTTTGGCTTGGGATAGTTTTTCGATATTTTAACAGATGTTATTTTAAGCACAGAAATTTCTTTTTAAATGAAGACAGTCTTTTGAATAATGCAAAGAATTTTTATAATTCTGCATTTAAGCTGAAATTTGAAGACGACATTTGCGCTCAATTAAAGTCCTAAAAATAGAGTTATAAGCATCTTTCAATTTGTCAGTCAAATATGCTCTTTTTAAAACCATACTAGTCGAAAGAAATTGAAAAAAAAGAGCAATTTTCGAATTTTAAAAAAATTTGCAATTTTTTAAATTCCTATATAAAAATTATTTTTGCTAAAAAAGTACTAAATATTCACCAATATTCAAGAACTAGTATGAATTTATGCAATGTGCTGTACTCTAACCAATATCCAAGTTTTAACTCTAGGTTTACGGAACTCGTCATTTTGACGCATTTCGAATTTTATAAGGAAAATTACAAAACCCGTTTGAATTTTTATTTTATCTCTTGTAATGACTTTTATCCATTGATCAAGGTAAATGTATATCGAAGTCTATTTTCTTCAAAAGCGTTGAAATATTGAAATTCTCTTTGTGGTATACCTATCTCTACGAATATGCGTCAATTTGACGCGATCGTAATTTAGACAATATTTTGAGTAAACATGCAAACATCACATCAATAATGAAAAGGAATATACCGAAAATACTTCGATCTATTATCCGATATCGTTATCTTAAATGAAACAAGCGATAAAAAATTGTTGCCGATAAGCAATAATAGAAAGAACAAACGCAGAATGTAATGCCAGAGGGTCAGATTTTGAAGGTCTCAGTTGCTTAGTTCGAGTATTGAAAAATAAAATACTAGAATATTTCATAAATATATATCTCATATTTTTTCTTATTGTATATATTTACATTGCTTTCTAAGTGCAGAAATGCCAACTGCTCCAGACACGCCAAAATAAAAAATAACGGTAAATAAATACTAAGTAAATTTTGCAAATCATCATCATCATCAAAATATATCTGGGCGGGTGGGGCCGTTAGCGGTCTTAAAATTTTGCAAGTATAAAGTGGTGAATTATGTGAGCCTACGAACCATTGAGAAATAGAGGTGGATAAAAATCTACTGAATTGAATTTATTAAACCAAGAATCACAATTGATAAACTAACACTTTAAAATATATGTTTGCTGTCTGGAGCAACTTGGCATCTCTGCAAGTGCTGTTACATGCATTCGTTCTTGCGTCAAATTGACGCGTGTTCATAGAGATAGGTATATAAGAAACGCCCGTAAATCTAGTGTTAATAGCCTTATTAGAAATTGAGAAACTTGCTTTCTGTGCGAAAAACAGATATAAAGACTTTAATAACTTTAACCGGTTAACGTGCAGAGTCATATATTTAGGACAGTTCCCTTTTTCAAAGACATTCATTGTGATGGGAAACTTTTTTCAGTATTTTTATTTATCTGAGTGAATTAAAAGATTTTCTGATACCATGATGATTTAGTTATTTCTGATTGGCAAGTATAGTTCGTGCACCAGGAGTTGGCACTTGGCTCCGCCTTCTTCACGTGCTATCGGAAGATATTATTTCGCTATTTTGGGGAGAAGGATGTGAACAAGGCTGCTATTTGGCGATCGTATGGCAAAAATATTTACTTCGCGATCTTCATGTGCATATTTTGAACATGTGCATTTTATTTCATAAACTTTTTGCTATTTCTCTCTTTTTATTGAATAGTTTGTTCTTTTTGAGATATTTTTCTGGGAGAAAGTTTTTAAATATTAATTAGCTAGAATAACGAAAGGTATTATAGCTGATGCTAAAGCGAAGTAAGTGACTGAAAAAGAATTCACTGTTTGTGTTTGGCCATCACCTTCTACATCAGAAAGCCTCCACACGGTTTCTTATAAGTAGTTTGAGCAGATTATTTAAAAAGTGAACAATTTGAGCGCATGAAGCCAAATTCTATTTTAGAAGTGAGAGAGAGGAATTTGTCATATATATTTGAGAATTTAATCTGTAGTGGTAGACAAGTAAATAAGACAAACAAATCATATTAAAAAGCTAAGCAAATTTTTAGACTCATATTTGCTACCACTTTTTTATTTTTACTAGATTTTCTATTAAAGGGCTCTTGCGTAAACTGGTTTGCCTTCATCGTGGTCTGATTGGAATACCTATAAAAAACCGTGTGGAGGCTTTGCGCGCATTAGAGGTTATCTCGATTTCAAACGGGGTAAGGTTTTTCCTCTTACTCCCCCGCCCTGAAATGAACTCTGCGTCCGAGGAGGTGGAGCCAAGTGCCAACTCCTGATGAACGAACTATACTTTTTGATCTATCAGAGACGTTTTGCATGCTCTAACAGTAGAAAAACCAATTAATTTCGATAATATATTATACCACTTTTTCCATTAAACCACTTTTTGCATCATTTCAATATATAAATTCGGCGCAAAACGGGTTAATTAAAATACTTGGGCTTGACGACAATTCCAGTTTAGAAAATAATTATGTTTTTTTTTTATTTTCATTGCAATTTCAGATGTGAATTGAATATTATCTTGTACCTACAGGGCTGCCGACTTTTTACGCTTTTTGTTAAAATTACTCTATCTGTAGCTATGTTTAGTTTTTATAGAATTATTTTTTAATCATTTAAACTTATTTTCGACACTACTACATATGAATGATTTAAAAGTTCGCACGCAACGACACTGCGTTCTAGCTACTTCGTAGTGAGGCTCTTAAAATATTGGCAAAATTACCAATAATTCTGATTGCTTTGGTTTTTGAGAGGTTACCACTTTATAAAATATTTTGCTAAAAGCGTAGTAGTTGGCAGGCCTGTACTTAAGTTCAGATTACTCAGAAAAAATAAATGGTTATAACACATATTTGTTTCGTCAAATAATTGGAAATTTCTTTAGAAAAAATCTTCTAGATCCCTTAAATATTTAAAAACTGGTGTTATAATTATAAAAAAAAAATTATACAAATTTCTTTTCCATTGCTATCACTTCACAATGAAAATTAAATACAACGAACAGTAACTCTATATATATTTATTTCAAAATAATCAGTATAGTGGTGAATGTGAATTTGTTAAGTTACATTTAATTTCCTAAATTTTGCATCCACTTTTTAAATTTTATAAGGACCATGGCATATGTGTTAATCCACTTTGGTACAGTTGAGCCGGAGACTCACTTGCCGAGTGGTATCACCCACCAAACTCTGTGAGAAGAATGAAATATCGAATTTGAATCCCGCCATAACCATGGATGTATTCTTTGTCATATCCTTCTCCAGCTTGGTCTTTCTACTTGACAAAGGGTTACAAGCCTAAGTTGAGCAAACCAACCTGCGCATGTATTTAATTTCACTAAAACAATACCCCATGTTTAGCCTTTCAAAAAGTTGCAAAATTAGCTAAAAATCTGCAAGGTTTAGACTTTTTATTTTATTTTATAACCTTTGTTAAACAGCCGATCCAATTTTTTAGGTTTATGACTACAAATGTTCAACTTCATAGCCTTATAATGATTTACCCATCCCAGAAAACAAGGGAACTCCTGGATAAAGTATTGGGAGAAATTTGCCTTCTGGAGGACTTTTTGATTGAACTAACCAGCATTTGCGAAACATGGAAAGGAAAATCACGAAAACCTTCATGGTTAGCTTGGTGGCAAGGGAAATCTAACCTATGATCCGTCTACTACTGAAGATATTTTACGTCAGCACTGCGGTCGGTGCAAACCGGATGCAGAAATCGTATCGATCAGCCATTGCTAGGATTCGAACCTGGTTCACCTCTTTTGAAGGGGAACGATCTATCCCTTGAGCCGTCATGGCTCAGAAGGTTTAGATTGTAGTTCTCTACCTCAGGGGTGTCAAACTCAAAAGCTAAGTTGGGCCAAATAAACAAAGGTTAACTTTAGGTGGGCCGCAAAAAAAAAAAAATCTATGTTCCTGGAAACAAATATTTTTATTTGGAATAGTACATTGTAATAAACATATATAAAGTTGAATTATTTTTTTTTCGTCCTGATACTTGACATCTCTTCTCTGCTACTATCTTTCCTATTTCGGGAGAAATTTTATTTTGCCGAGACTACTTTCAAAATTGACCCAACGTGAGTGTTATACGGTTTCGGGCAGGAGATTTATTTTCATTTATAACAGAAAATAATTGCTCGCACTGATAAGTACTTCCAAACATGGAAATAATTTCATATGCGAATTTTCGAGTATTTTCAAACCTTGCCGGTAAATATTTGTAAAATTCAGGCACACCCACTTCAATGAATTTTGCCTTCAAATTTGAGTCGCACTGAATCTCAATCACTTCCATTTGCATATTACTGGGTACTGAGTCTATATTTATTGAGAAAATGGAAGAAAACAGACAAAATTTGTCTTCCAAAGAATTAAAATCCTTGTTTCAAATTCTGTTCTAAGATTCGAAATTTTTTGTGGGTATTTTTGATACGATGCAGTACCATCTAAAATAGATTTGTTCTTGTTGTACGTTAGGAAGGGCGGTAAATCTTCATTTTTCAGTTGCCTTACCCCAAAAAATAGTTTACATTTGAATGCTTTAATTATGTCAAACAAGTTCGTAATGATCTGATCCTTGCCTTGTAACAATAAATTTAAATTGGATATGTATTTGGTTACATCAAATATAGAAGATAAATCTTGGAATATTATAAAAATAATAAAGTATATTATCATTTTATATACTGGCTTCGTTTCTAGTTCACATTTCCATTTTATTTTTACTTTGCGTCTGATATATTGACTGGGCCGCAAAAATGCTCATCTCGGGCCGCGAGTTTGACACCCCTGCTCTACCTTATTTTGAAATATATTGTCGAATCTGGATAGTTGGTATCTCTGCATACTACTATTACAGCAAATCTTTGGGAGTACTTACAAGTCCGGGTAGTATTTAAAAGTATTTATCCGGCTTGCGTCAATCACAGTGATGACGTGAAATATCATCAGTAGTAGACGGATCATGGGTTATAGCAACGCTTCCTATAACTGAAAGCCTCCACACGGTTTTTTACAGGTAGTCCGATCAGACCACTGTGAAGGATATCCACTTACCGAACGAGTCATTTAATACAGAATCTACTTAAAAAAAGAAAGTGGTAGCAAATATATGACTAAAAATTTATTTTATTTATGAATATTATTGGCTTGCCTTATTCACTTGTCAACCACTACAGATTCAATTCTCAAATATGTAAGATAAATTTCTCTCAATTACTTTAATAAAAGGTTTTGGGTGCATGCGCACAACTGGTTCGCTTTTTAAGCGGTCTGCGCGAACTACTTATGAAAGACCGTGTGGAGGCTTCTTGATGTAGGAGTTGATGGTTGTAGTCCCTTTACCGTCAGGCTAACCGTGAGAGGTTCTCGTGGTCTTCTGCGCCATGTAACGCCAATGCTTGCTAGTTCCATCAAGAAGTCCGCCACGAAATCAAATTTCTCCCTGTGCTTGATCCAGGAGTCCCCTTGTCTTCTGGATTAGGTTCAAAATTACAAGGATTAATTTTTTAAAATTTATTTTCAAAAAATTCATTTTAAGGGTGCCCCTAATCATTGGGGGACCCAGGCCATGGCCTAGTCTGGCCTAATGTATAATCCATCACTGATATTATGGTATTGTTGAACTTGATTATTACTTGATATTATGGTATCATTGAACTTGACTATTACTTAATATTATGGTCTTATTGAACTTGATTATTACTTGTTAGTATGGTATTGTGGAACTTGATTTTATTACTTGATATTATGGTATCATTGACCTTGATTATTACTTGATATTATGCTATTATTGAACTTGATTATTGATTGCAGTCTTTTTCTCTTTTCCTTTACAGGCAGCAGTGGCCTTAACTTATGATGGTACAAAAGTGATTTTAGATGCCTATAGCAGACTTCTTAAGAAAAAACCAGATATCTTCAGAAATAATTTTCGTCGAGGAGAAGTTTATAATAATGGTAGCAAAGGCATAGATTGTAGAAAAATTCCTGTCACTCCATGGGAACACGGGGATAAAATTAGTCATTACTTTAGAAAGGTCAGTTGCTTTGAGATTATGTAACAGATTAAAATTCTGTTTGAAAGTGACGTATGTTTTTTATTTCACTTTCTTTAAAATTATCTTACCTATTATGTTCAAGTTACGGAAATTTAAATTTTAAACTACATTATTCAGCAGGATATATAAATCTTCGCACCACCTACAATTAAAATCATATGATAAGAGAAACTGTTATTATTTTTTCAGTTATAACAGTTATATTTTAATTTTTGAAATATGTAAACTCGTTTTTATATGTTGCATGGTATAGTGAAATAAGCAAAAAGGAGGGGGTGGGAATCCCAGGGACGGCTTGTCGATACGAATTCCGCATTCGGCTCGCACCAATCACAGTGCAGACGTAAAATATCCTCGATGGTAGACGAATCATGCGTTAGAGTCCCCTCTGCATGTAACGTTTACTCTGCATGTAACGCAAATGCAAGTTAGTTCCATCAAAAAGTCCTCCACGAAGACAAATTTCTCCCAATACTTTATGCAGGATTTCATTTGTCTACTGGATTGGAATCAAAATTACAAGGCTTCGGAGTTAAACATTAGTAGTCGTAAAATCAAAAAAATTGGATCGACTGTAGAAAGATGGTTACAAAATAAAATAATATTTGGAAACATTTTCCCGATCATATTTATATAAAATAATAGTAACAACAATTTAGTCCGAAGAAGAGCAAAAGCTTACTTGAAATTATTCATAGGTAAAAATTCGTGACTCAATCTTTAAATTTGATAAGATTTAATATAAAAACGAAAATTGTGTCCATAAAAGATTTGCATTTAAAAAAATAACTTAGTTGAAGCACAGCTGTTAAGTTTCAACCATGCCTCAGAGTCAAAAAATTAATTCACTCTGGTGGAAACGTTGGATAAATTTAATATCAAAATAAGGAAATTTTTTAGAACACTGTACAAAAAATATTCGTTTATTTGAAGCACAGCTGTTAAGCTTTTGCAATGCCTCTTAGTTTAAAACAAGATAATTATCTGCATTGTAAATCCATTTTGTGCCCCGAGTTCATTTAAATACGTTTTTGTAGTCATTAAAAAATAGTGTTATAAAACTTACTTATGAACCGAAGGTTTTTTATTATTTTAAACTGCTTAGAATTGGAAAAAATTACATATACCCTAACAAAGTATACAAAAATTATGTGTTATTTAAATACGATTGATATTAACACTTTCATCGCTACAATTAGTCGCATCTGTTCCACCCTGTGTACTTAGAGTTCCCCCGCATCACTAAAATTAAAATAAAGCATACATTCCTTGAAAACTTGTATATTTTACTGCAAAAAATAGTAATCAATTGCAATCAATAGCACTTATATTCACGAATACAATAATAGAGCCCAGCAAGTATTCCTTGAAGACGAGTTATTTCGTTCTTCGCGATGAAAGAGTTAATGATCTTTTTCTCCTAGTTATTTTTTAAAGCAGACATTTTCTGTGATTTGCATTGGGAACACTATATATTCAATTTCATTTTTTAAAAGTCTGAAACCCTCTCATTTTTTTTCAAGTTATGTTTTTTAATGTTAAATTTAAGTAATGTTACGTTTAAGTAACGTCAAGTAAAGTTCTTTTTTGTTATTATTTTTTTACGATTAACCAAAAATGATTTTAATCGAAAAGGTAATAAAAAAATGAACTATTTTCCCACAATGGTTTACCGAATTTTTGATTTATCACTTCATAAAATTTTAACATTTAAATTAAAATAACATATTTATGTATACATATTTACTATAATATAATTCTCGATTTGCTTATTTAATTTTAGACAGACATTCGTGGAATAACTGGAAATATCAGCTTCAATGATAGAGGTTATAGAAAAAATTTCTCAGTTGATGTCATTGAAATGACCATGAATACAGACATGACGAAGGTATGTTAATTAACAAACAATTGTTCAACATGTATTATGAGAGTTAGAGCATGTGTTGAGTGTTCAGAATGTGAAAAATTAAAAAGAAACATGAAGAAATAAATATAAAACATATATCAAATGAATAAATAATAATTTAGAGTTAATATGAAAAATTTTCACTATTAATTAATTGAAAGTTTGAAATAACAACAAGTTAAAACGCTTAAAAACAAAATTTATGCAGTTTCATAAAGTTTCGTAATTTAACATTATAATTTAATAATTTAAAAGTAATAATTAAGGAGATTAATGCAAAATAAATCCAATCGATGCAAAATATTAAAATGTAAAGAATGGGGAAAGTTTCTTTATAAAGTATATAGTTAGTTTCCAATTTTACCCAGAATTTGCAGATTTTATTGAAAAAAGAGTGTTAGAAGAAAAAAATAATCAGAAAAATTATAAACATGAAATAAAAAGTTTATCTTTTTAATTTTTGTTTTAAAAACATAATTATCTACGGGTCTTTACTTAGTAATATAAGAAATATTTCTCAACGCTATTCTTATCTCAAAAGGATTAAAAAGCAACGAAAAAATTGTTTTAGCTTTAATCAAGGCATTTAAAATCGGAAAAAGAAAAGTATAAATGCATTTTAATGGCAAGTTTAATTAATTTCTGATTTCCTATTCCCGGGGAAAATATTAAATTTGTTTTAAGTTGCTTAATTAGAATTTGAACTATAATTATTCATGTAGTTCTTTTTGCATTATAATAATATAATGCGAATGATTCAATTAAAAAGAAATAAACAATTTTTCTTTTTGACAACGAATATATTTCAGAATTACATAATTTTAGAAATGACTCAGAATCATTAGTAATTTTTGAATGAGTTCTTTTCTAAGGTGAATTTCGTTTCGTAAATTGCTTGTAGATGGCGCCATCATAAGGAGAAAAAGTTTTTACAGTGAAAGATTACATTATTCACGGATCTGTATATTAAAATTACTTGAGTACTTGACTACTATAATTTAACACAGCAATTTATAGGTCAGATTTATTTTAAATATTCGAAGAAATTAATTTACTTATTAGTAATAAAAAATAATAAATTAATCTATATATATATTTCTCTAATTTTTCCAAAATACAAATAATTGCTTTATTTTTAGATTGCTTCATGGTCAGACGTAGGGGGAATGGAATTGTTTGCACCTAAATACAAGCGAACCGGAGCTTCATCAGGATTAGAAAAAAACAAAACATTCATTGTTACTAGCATACTAGTAATTACGTTTCTCTTTTCCTTATTAATTTCTAATAAAAGCGTATTTTCAATTATTCTCCTCCGAGCCAAATATAATAGAATAGTTTTATATAATAAAAAAGGTTTGTTATACTTTAAAGTTTAAACAAAAAACAAATTTTTTTTTAAACTGTTCCACTTTTGATGCGGAAATAAAATAAAAGTTAACTGTGCATTATGAAAACAAAATTTTTTTTTATGCAAGCTAACTGGATAAGCATTTAAACTTTCTTGCGACCTGAAAGGAAGTAAAAAAAAACATATAGATACGATTGTAATTCTTACAGTCAAGACTATTTTAATTGCAATATACAGCTTTTTCAGCAAAATTACTTTTCAGCAAGATGTTGTCATTAAAGATAATTAAAAAACTATACTTTTCAGATTTTACGCAAATGAGCTGTAAGTTGTGTATTTTCGAATAAATAAATATATATATAATTACTTTTTTTTTCTTGAAATCAATATTTTTTTTCCAAACAGAAGCCTTGTTTGGATACCTTTTAAATGTGTTAAACGTTAATAATCATTTAATTATTATTTTATTTTCAAGATTTTTAATATTAAATTACGCAAAGCGAAACAAAATAATAATAAATAAAATAATAAATAAAGAAATTGCATACCAATGCATTGAATTTAATTTTATTTCCTCGGTTAAGTAATATTTTGCGTGTATGCTTTCTTTTTTAACTTTATTTACATCAGAAATATTCTGAAACAAGTAAAGATAATTATGGTCGCTTAAATACACTGGGGAAAAAACTTTCTGTTGCATTAATACAAATGCTTGATCTTTCTTAATTCGAGTGTGATTATTTCAAACTTGAAATTACAATCTTAAAATAATTCTTGTTATTAGTTTCGAGGACGCAGATTTTTTTTTCAAAATTATATTTTTTGCATGGTTTATTTATCTTAATGTATAAGTTTCAAAAAACGTATATGCTTGCAATTACCCAGTACTTTGAAAAAAGCACTTCAGTAATTACATTATAAACTGAAATGTATTATCGCTTCCTTCCTAATACTTCTTACGTAGCAGAAAAGTGGAAAAACTTAGGATTTACTAGAAAAAATGTTAAAATATCCTGGTTAGTAAAGCATTATTAAATTTCATAAAAATTGTCGCTAGCAGAGAGAAGCTGATTGCAGATTAAAAATTAAAATCCGTTCAAAAATCCCATGCAACAAAGAATAAATAAATAAAAATAAAAAGGAAAGTTTCCTCTGTGTATTTTGTACTTGTGTGTAAGAAATTTAAAAAAAGAAAATAGTCTAAAATGACTTTATTAATTTATTTCCTCCTTATTCCTTTGGGAATCTTTGCTCATGTATTTATTTATCATCGATCATTAAAATTTCACTTTTATTTTATTTTTTACAAAATCATTTGTTACTTACTTTTTTAAGAAATTTATAAGAAACTAATGATTTATTTCTGCAATTTGAAATTGTATAATCATATTGTGAAAGCAATTTCTAATTGTTCTTATTGGCTTATATTTCGATTCATTATATTTTAAAACTATGAAACCTTTGCTTTCAAAACTTTGTTGTTTTTTAAAAGTACATTATAATTTCATTCACAAATTGAAACCTAATTTTAGAAATATTCATTAAATAAAGCAGTATGGGTTACCAGGTCCATATTTCACGAAATAAAATTAAATATTAGATTTAATTGTACCCACTCCTTAATACATTTTTGTTGAAAACCTTGGTGTTATTTTATTTATATTTTTGTAATAATTTTAAACTTTAATAACTTTTAATTTAATTTAAAATTTAAACATTTTTTATATCCACGCACAAGGATCCTCTCCGCCAAAAAAAAAGAGAGACTTTTTTTTACTTCCAAAAGAAACTCATATATATANTAATACGAGATAAAATATTTTTACCTCACACAACAAACCATATCCAAAATTTAATTGTACGCTGTAATATTTTGCTAAAGTTTAACTATTTTGTACTTTAGTGTCTGCGCTTCTTCTTAAACCCGTGAAGAAAATGCTGTTATTGATTTTTCCATTAACTTTGTTGCTTTCTAAGAAAGGAAAAAAAAAAAAAAAAAAAAATTAGCATTGTAAAAAAACGAAGAATCTTCTGTGGTTAGTAATTTACTATGTCCTGACAGCTTTAAATTTCTAATACTGAAAATAATTAGTAATATTTTTAGATTAAAAAAATTGCTTTTCTTTTCTTTCCTTTCAAGGAAGAGCCTTACTTGATGTACAAAAGAGCAGATCCTGGAGACATCTTAGAAGGAAATGATGTTTTTGAAGGTTACTGCAAGGACTTAGCAGACCTTATAGCTGAATATTTAAATATTAATTATAGCCTAAGGTTAGTCAATGATTCAGCTTATGGAGGTCAGGACCCCAATTCTCCTGTAGGATGGAATGGGATGGTTGGAGAATTAATAAGAAAGGTAAGTTTTGATCCAAATTTTGAATATATTGCGGACAAAAGTTTTTAGGAATTAAAGATAATATGAACTAAAGTTATTTCGAAAAAACGATATTACAGACAAAAGAAATTTCGGACTAAAGATATTAGGGACTAAAGAAATTTAGGTCTAAAGATATTACGGACGAAAGAAATTTCGGACTAAGGATATTGGAGACTAAAGAAATTTAGGTCTAAAGATATTAAGGACAAAAGAAATTTCGGACTGGACGTGTTTTGGACTAAATATATTTCGGACTAAAGATATTACGCATTAAAGCAATTTTGAACTAAAGATATTAAGGACTGAAGACATTTCGGAATAAAGATAATTCGGAATAAAGATATTTCGGAATAAAGATATTTCGGAATAAAGATATTTCGAACTAAAGATTTTACGGACGAAAGAAATTTCGGAATTGAGACATTTCAGACAAAAGATATTAAGGACTAAAGAAATTTTGAACTAAGAAATTTTGAAGTAAACGTTAAACTCATTTGAAATAAAGGCATTTTTTTAAATATCACCAAAAAATAGAGGATAATATGTGTATTGGATATCCTATGGTTTGATTAAAATAAAAGTCAATGTAATTTTTTTTGTTTAATTTGAAACGATTAAAAAAAAAAGCATGAATTGAGAATGATAGAAAGAAAAAAATAATAGAGTGGCCACAACAAGGGCAAAATTCAAAAAGTGGTTGGGCAAGATTGAAGAGACATATGATTTTATATAATTGCTATCTATATACCAAAATACATTTATAAGTTTTCGGAAACATATCTAAGAAGATGTAAATACTTCTTAGAAAATAGGAAAATGCGTATTTTAACCCATCAGCGCATATTAAAAAAAAGTGGTTTCTACATAAAAAAATATGAAAAAATTATTGTAAAAATTTATTTAAACCAAGGATATATTTCTTTCCATAACAGAATTTGCTACTGTCGAAAGTGTCAACCTTCCTGTGCACAGTGTCGTTTAAACTCGTCAACGCCTGATGTCTTTATTAGAAGGCAATTCTTTTTTACTTCAAAAAAATAAAAACTGGTGTCATGAAATATTTCATGACCGGTAGACACCCAGATCGTGCGTATTTCAATTAGTAATAAAAAGATCATCATTAATACAAAAGAGCGTAGTAATGCATTCATTTGTTAATTATTGAATAACACGTGGAAAAAAGTATGTAACATTCCAGATAACATAAAAATTGTATGTTGTTTCTTTTTTTTGAAGAGAGAGAAAAAAACATTGAGATGAGCAAATGACTTTTACAGCAGTCGAGAATTTACCTGAAATAATTGGGACAAAATGTGATAATTTTCACTTCCACCCACTCAACTGGCGTTAAATTTCATATGGAATTCCTAAATAGTTGGAAAAAAATATGTTTCTGAGCAATGTCGTCAAATTAAAATTAAGTAAAAATGTGTTAATGGATCAAAGTAACACCAAAACTTAATCCAAATTTCAGAGCTTCAAATGGTCTGTCCAAAGTGAATAAATGAAAATCTCCATCATTTAGCAACGACTTCCTATTAAATATTTATTTTCATTGTTTCCTTTCCTTTATTTAATAAAACTGGCCAGCTGGGTCACGCAACTATCCCTATCTCTTTCATCATGAAATTTAAATCATTGAGTTACAAACATTTTGACTTTAGCAACATTAGGGTAGCTATACAAATAGGTGAAGCACTTTGCTTGATATTTTGGAAGTTATTATAACAATGGGAATATTTTTAAATCAATTAGTAAATATAACATATGAGTAGTAGATAAAAATAGTAAATAACATCTGAGTATTGAATCAAATAACACATGTTGACGTAGATGTAAACATAATTTGTAGGATTTTCATTGTGTATTGTCATATTTGCATTAGCGTATTTCATTTTAAATATTATTCTGGTGATCAGCATCGATTTTGTGATAAAAATATTAAAACTACAAATACATTTCCTTAAACAAGTTTCATATAATTTAATTTGGTTAAACAATATGAGGCTGAAATGCAAATATTTATGTCATACGTTTTTTTAGGGATTTAATGACGAAAATGTAAGAATTTTTATATTTAATTAGCAAACTCAAACATAGTAGTTATGATTTAGTTTAATAAATGTAAGTTTTGTTTTTTACGAATGCAGTTGTTATATTTATCTCCATTTTATTTATTTTAATATTATTGTTATTAGTTTCTATCATAGGTAGTTTAAACAATCCATAACCTTCTAGAAAGTGCCATTTCTGGCATAAGTATGAGTAATTTACTTTGAATATATTAACGCACAAACAGAAGCACACTTCTTGAGTCAAGTCTAGAAGTTAAAATCAATTTTGATTTATCCACTCAAACAGCAAGAACAGAAACCAAATACGGAAATAGTTTTCCCTTCCAATAAAATTTCGAATAATATTTTCATATACGTGTGAGAAAAGATTAAAAAAAATCATAGAAAAGTAACGACAATGAATTTGATTAATCACCAAACTTTTATCGATTCAGGAGTCAAAAAGTCAAAGAAATTTCATTATAGCACTTTTAGTCAGATTAACTTGCTAGTGAAATTAAAGAAAAATCTACAGCAGCTACCAGCAATAATGTCAGCATGTTAGAAGGAAATGAAATTTTCCCACCCTACAGTTTCCCCCGACTTCATTATTCTTTCTCAGTCATTTTTGCTCCTTTGGGAAACTGTAAGTCTCACAGAGAAACACAAAAGTTTTCTTCTAGCTGGGAAAAGCGGAGATTTTTATTTCTCCCACTTTGAAAATCTTTTCAGTAATCGTGAACAAACGTTCAATAAACTGACTCAGATTATTGAACGTTTATCAAACATTTCGTAGATTAAATAAGCAATTAATTATAGAAGTGATTTTATCGAAGCAAATTTTGTTTGTAAATTTGAGGAGTAGAATAATATTAGTAATGTTATTGAAATAATCACATGGATACTTGAAAACAGGATTTGGAAATGAGAATACTCAAGTTGAGTAGCTAACATGTCAGATTTAAATTCTTGTAGTTTTGTTTAAATGTTAAATCATAGATTTGAATTTTTTTTTCTTTAAAACACTTACAAATTTGAATTAAATTTAAAGATAAAGCTAAAATAGATATATTTTTTGTTAGTTGTTAAGTCAGATATATCTGTGAAATTTAAATAGCCTTAAATTTTGTTTTGTTGTAAAATTGTTCGAAATTTTGTTAATTCAGTCAAATTTGAATTTGTCTACATTGTTTTTCCTATCCGTCTCTCAGAAAAACGCAAAAGTTTTCTTCTAACTTAGAAAAGCAGAGATTTTTTATTCCTCTTTTTTGAAAATCTTTTCATTAATTGCGAGCAAATTTTTAATAAACTGACTCAGATAGTTCATGGCTTTTTTTTCAGTTGTAAAATCATGAAATCAAAAAAAAAAATCTCTCAGCATGGTATTTACTTTTAAAACATTATTCAAACGAACTTACAGATATATATTCCATGAATTTTTCTATATTTCTTTAGTTGCTAAGAATAAGTTACTAGGAAAAATCAGGAAAAATTGTTAAATATATGTAGTTTTCACCAGCGTTGTATGATTTGCAAGCACTACTTGCATCCATAAATTAAACGCTTAGGAGTATAGTATCGTTTCACCTTAATTATTTACCAATAATACACTAACCCTTTAACGGGCCCTTTATTTCTAGTAAAGGTAAATTAAAGTATTTTTGGAAATGAAATTGTTTTAAGAACAGTAATTGATATAAAAAATCAATATATATAAGTAATCGTTTATAAGTAAGTATATCGTTATATAAGTAAGTATATAAGTAATCGTTTAAAAAACTGAAATTTTTTTGGTGGTAAATATATTTAACATGACCTATTAGGAACTTACTGACTTTTATTTTTCTTTATTTATAAAATAAATTCATTAAATGCTACAAACTTCAAAAGGAATTATGTATTTTACAACTTTTATACGTTTTTTTAAAAGTGACAAATGGTTACCAATTTTATTCAAACTCACTCCAAGAAAGCTGAAGTTATTGAAAAATGAAAACCTAAATTAAAAGTGGTAAAACGTGGTGGTAAGTATAGGGGAGAGTGGGGCCAATTGTAACAGGGTACGACTGTAACAGAGCAAAAATTTCGAGTGTCGGGNAACAAGTACACGAATGTCAAAAATTGTTAATAACTAATATAATAACATTTAAAATAAGGTATTTATTTTTTTTTCCAGTAGCGGATAGTCTACTTTACTCGTCTGTCATTTAATACTAATAATATATTGGATTTTTTGATAGTTAAAAATAGTTATGTAAAAAATTTTACAATTGAACCCACTCTCCCCGACTTACCACGGCCTTCAAAAGGGTTAAAACTAATATTGTAGAAACTTAGTTAATAAATTATAGAACTTAAGAATATGTATTTCTAACACTGGGGAAAACATTTTGTTGTAATTATACAAGTACTTGGTCTTATTTAATTTAATTAGGGTGTGGAGATATTAATTATGAAAAAGGTTCTAATCGGGTAGTTACTGATTTTTTAAAAAAAAATATTATTTTTAGTTTAATTTATTTTTTATCTGTATGTACAAGTTTATAAGGAATGCATAAGCTTATATGCATCCGCTTCACTTGTCTGCTTCTTTGAAAATAATACTTAAGACACAAATAATATGACCGTAACATATCGCTTCATAAACTGACATGTATTATCACTCCCTGCGTAGCAGAGAATTGGGAGGCACTTAGTTTCTGGTTAGGAATATATAGGAATACATACTTGAAACTCTGCAGTTGTTAGAGAGAAACCAATTGCAGATTTAAAATCAATGACATGAAAATATCTAAGACCCATTCAAAAATAATATCAGCAGAAGAAAAAAAATTGTTTCTCGGTGTATTTTTGATCATGGTATTTTTATAACGGTTTCCATAGATGAGTTGAAACACAAATGCATGTTATCGAATGTGGAAAAATACTACTAAAACGCTTTCTTTTACAGCATAAAATGCTAACCGAACGTTGCGTTTGCCAAAATTTAAGTAATTTTAATTGTAAACCTAAATATTAAGAATCATAAGATTTGCAAACCTTTCAACTT